GACCAACAGTGGTAGCCAGATTCTGCTGCACAGAGCTGTGGATGATCATCTCTACCCAGCGTGGGACCTGCCAGCCCAGGAAGAGCCACACTGTCAAGCCTTGCCGTGGCTGATCTTTGCCCAGCATTGGACCTGCCAGTGCCGTCAGCCCTTGGTGATGACCCCAAGCTTTGACTGCAGTGTCACCTTCTGGCCTGCAATAGACGTGGTGTGGAAAGCCCAGCAGAGCTGCTCTATCCCTGCAACAGCCCAGCCGAGGGTGGGTGATGCCGCTTCAAAAGAGGGAGCTAAGACAGGAGGACACTGTCAATGGGCAGGAAGAGAGCCTGGACCAAGGCCTGTCTCCTCCAACCTGCCACAGGATGAGCACTGTCAGTGGGCTCTTCTCTGTGTTGGGTCACCTGTCCACATCTGAGTAACAGCAAGGCTTCTGTCTCACTAGAAGGTTTCAGCATGTGGGCAAGTACCATCTCTTCCCTCTGGTGTCCATGCTTGGGGCAAGGAGAGCCCTCAGGAAGCATTAAATAGCTGCTGGATGCATCACCACAGCAGCTGATCCTGGGCAGTGAGTCAGAACCATCGTGCCAGTGTTCCGGCATGCAGGATGGTGGCACGGGCAACTCCTCCCCTCATCACTTGCTGTTTACTCATGTATTCAGGTTTTCTTTACCTGTGTGTCTGCACACAGCTGGGATGAGCATCCCACCAGCACAGGGCAGCAGAGGAGTGAGAGGGTCAGGTTCAAAGCAGAAATAAAATGACCAAGAGTACCCCAGCATCTGCCTGGAGCGCATCCAAAGGGATGCAGAGCTGCTGGCCCCATAGACACCTTGGTGAGCTCAAGTACAAATACATCTTTATTTATTAGTTATGAATCTTCTAACCCCCAGCCCAAGCCCTGATGCGAAAGGATTTCTAGTCTTCTGGATTTTGCAGTATTAATTAGGCTTGCTGGGAAGCTCTCCCTGTGCTTCCTGCCTGCCCAGTCCTGTACCCAGCTCTCTGCCAGGGGTGGACATAGCAAGGGAGGCAAGTGAGCCCCCCAAAATGAGTGAAACTCAGCACTGGTGGGATGCTTGGATCAAAACTTTCATGCTGGTACTACAGAGTTTTTTTCTGTGTGGGAGAAATGCACTTGCAAACCCTTGGCTGGAAGGTGCTGTCTCGGCTTCTGAGAATTCCTGTGGAGGATGTGGGGGGAGTCCCTGCAAACTGATGGTGGTCCTCACTTCTGTAAGGAGGATGGCTGGCCAGTTTTCTTGGCTGGCCATATATTAGTTCAGGTTTGGGGACTGAACCTGAACTAATAGGTTCAGGACAAACCCTTGTGAGCCCCGGCAGCCACAGGAGCTGTGCAAAACATGCATCCCCCTCCTGCACATGCAGAAATGCTCCTTCAACTCCTCTTCTTTTAGCCCAGCAGCTTCGGGGAGACTGGGAGATGGCAGAGCCAGGAAACAACATAAAGCTGCAGGATCTGAGATTGTTAATTAAAAAAAAACCCCACAATAAACTCCCCCCTTTCCCCCTCCCCCTGCCCCATCAGCATGTGAAATTCCAATTTCCAGTTAGGAAATTTGGTGGAATTGTGGTATGAATCATCCTTACCCTTAATTTTAGGACCCATTGCATGGGGAAGGGAGCAAAAACTCACTTTGCTAATCTATTTCCAATTAAAATTATTTATAAATCCATGGAGGGGGGTTGTAAGAATAAAATGAGAGCAGCTTTTGGGATGCTTCCTGCTGCCTACAGCCACCTGCTCACTTCCCTGTGCTGTTCTGGGGACAGCCAGCAGGACTGGCAGCTGGCTGGACC